AAGATAATTCCCAATGCCCTCTATCTTTTCATTGGTTTGAGTTTAACTCCGTGAGGTAAGATATTCTTATGCCCTAGACTTGGAATTGGAACAGCAGCCGGGGCTTCCTTAGAATTCCCGCCCCGGAGAGGATCTTTCAACGGATAGGACGTTTCTCGGAACTGCGTAGATATTGGAACTGCTTGGAACGGAACCGAAGCCTCCGTAATTGGGACCTCATTGGGTTCTGCCACCGAGTCAGGTCTCATATTGGGTACGAATAACATAACAGGACCTGGATTGGATTGTCTAGGCAAATTGGCACGTGGGACTGAATTGGGTTCCTCAGTCTGTTGAGGTCTCAATATTGGGATACGTCCCAATACTTATATTGGTTCGTTTAACCCCGTGGACGGCGCTACTTGCTCTCCTGCGATTGGTTCATCCATGTCCTGAATTGGATTCTTGTCTTTTTGTTGGCCTATGGTAAGCACTGCGTTCACCACCTCCACACGATGTACTGGTGAGTCTCGTTGAACAGGGCCTTTGTCCTCCTCCGGTTGGCTTGTTTGCATTAACTGGACCCGGTTACTATATTTAAAGGGCGCATTGCACTGCTGATAAGTGTGACCAGACCGCTTACAATTTCCACATATTGGAGCATAGTCATCACTGGCCCTTGGATTAGGACATTCACTCGCATAATGTCCGATTTGTCTGCAACGATAGCAACGAAGTGGTCTCCTGCCACTTCCTTCAGGGATAATGGGTGTCTCTACTGGTATATAATGGCTAGGTCTGTTCCATGTTGGATGAGTAAAGGATCCTGGCTGACCCATTGTTATTGTAGAGTCTGGCATTGGCTTCGTCATGGGTGGATATTGATGGTATCCTGGTTGGTTCATCGCCAATCCGTGAGTATTGGATACACCTTCTTGGTGAAATTCAGAGTTGAGGAAATTAGAATAATTCCTGTTTTGCTTATTCGCTCGATTTCCATTTCAGCCAAACCTATTATTCGTCTGTACTTGGTTGACATCCCACGAAGTTGGTTGAGTCATTATCTGGTGACTGAGTTGTTGTTGCTTCCGTAAATTCCAACAGTTGGTGGTAATATGCTTGCCCCCGCAAAAGGTACATTGTACAGTCATTTGGGGTGGTGAAGGACATTCTGTTACTAAATGAACTTGCCCCTTACAATTGCTGCACCAGACATTGGGACGCATATTGGTTGGTTTATGCCTTTTTTCTTTATCCTTGGCCAGATTCACAGCCAATTCATCCATTTTTTTCGTCAATGTTAACAACAATGACTCATTGGGATCCCTTGATACCAATGCATATGGCAATTCCTTTGTAGGTATTGGTTTCTGATACGTGGAATAAGGCGCATACGGTGTCGTGTTGTAACACGTCTATATGATGAAAATATAAATGAAGAAGATTTATTAATATTTAGTCATCTTGGGTGTTAGAAGCGGTGGCCAATTCCAGTGCAAAGAGGCCAGGTTCAGTCACCCCGTTACAGTCAGCCCAGGCATACTCACCAGTAACGAAATGCTCCGTTCGATTCCAATAAAATTAGTCAGCAGAAAGGGAAAGGACCAATTCAACGACGGGTGAGCCTGGTTCGAAGAGCCAATTGGATCCAATTTCAGAAGACCTCTAATCCAGGTTCTATTACGGGCCTCTTCCAATATGAGACCTGACTTGGTGGGGCAACCCAATGCGGTCTAATTACGGGGCTCCGATTCCGTTTCAGGCTGTTCCGTTCTTTGTGCCGTTCCGGGAACGTCCTTTCGGTAAAAGGATCTCTTAAAGGCGAAAATGGGGGAGAAAGCTCCGTCGGCTGTTCCAATTCGGGGAGTCCAAGGCGGAAGAATAGGATCTTCTCAGGGTTAAAGGGGAGGATAGGTTAAGAAATGAAAAGAGGGGAGAATCAGGGTTTTTAAGGGTCGGAGAGCTAGCTTCATGCTCGGGGAAAATACAGAGAATTGGGGTTTTTTTTTCTTCATAGGGTTTTGGGAAGACTGAGGCAATCGTTGCTGAAAGTCAGTGTTATATTGGTGAACTGGATTTTTTTTCCGAAAGAGAGGAAAGGCTGGTACTCTTGATTGTTGATGAAATGGGAGATACTTCTGTGGTTGAAATTCAGAGTTGTCTAGAAGGTTGAGTATGCTGAATGCATGCGTGGTTGTGTTAATCTGACTGTACGGATAGAGGATATCTGCCAACAGTTTAAAGAGGTTTTGGGAGTTGGCAAATTGGGGGTTGTTTAGGGTTTCTATGATAACTGGGGACCTACCGACAGGGATAAGAGGAATATCGGCGAGCGGCCAAGGGACATCGGTGCGGATTGCAGCATAGCCTCACAATCTGTAAGCGGGGTTGAACTGGAACTTCTTGAGCATTCGAAAGGGCTTGCAGAGACACTAGCGATAGATGTTTCACAACAAGTCGGAAGGACAGATCGAGGATCACAGCTTGCCGAAGTTCACGGTCTAGGATTAAGGTAATTAACGATAAAGTTAAAATAAAAAACATAAAATAAATAAAATAAAATAAAAATAACAAAAGAGATTGAAGTTATATAGGGTCTCTAGGCGTTTTATATTGGAATTAAGCTTTTACATTGCAATCCGATATAGATTGTATTTGGGTAGTCAAGAACCCGATAGACTGCTTGAGTACTAGCGAAACACCATACTACCTTCTACTGCCAGACGCCCGGCGCGTTCTCAAGCAAGATAGCACGTAATACGACACAAGTGGTGAACCCGACGTGAAAGCTTGAGGTGGAAGGTATTGGATTTCGTTTGATTTTATTTTCATGGAGAACGAAAATAAAAATTTTGAAGGATCTTTGGGAGGAGTTTCTGGTGGGGGTTCTTCTAAAGGACAAGGTATGCACATGGATCCGTCTATCGCGGGAAGAAAATGCCAGACTGTGAGAGTCGTAAGCCGAGGGCCATCGCTGTGATAGTGTGAGCCGAGGGCCAGACTGTGAGAGTCGTAAGCCGAGGGCCATCGCTGTGATAGTGTGAGCCGAGGGCCAGACTGTGAGAGTCGTGAGCCGGGGTAAGCTTGGTGCTACCTCTTTTCTTTTGTTTGTTATTTTCTTTGAATAAGAGGATTGAGAGTTTCTGAATATTGTGAAGTGAATTATGGAATGGAAATGTGATTGGTATTATTTGAGAAGAAGAAAGATTGAATGCTGAAATCTGATTGTAGTTCAGCAGAGAGAATGAGTCTGTGTTTGTGTGAAACACCGTAATGTGAATGGCAGTTCTGTGTGAAGAATTCCAGTGATTGGAATGAGGGTAATTGTGCGCTGAAAGCTGTGAGGGCGCAGTATTACAGTTGGAGATTATGAGGGTGAATATATTGGTGGAAATAGCAGTTATTGGTATGACTGAATTGCTGTAAGGAAGAGACCGATAAGGTGAAGGGAGGAGATTATAATTTCCTTGTGTGTTCAGATATTGAAAGTAGAGACGATACATTCAGGAGGTAATTGATTGTGTGACCCTAACGTGAACGCTTAAGCAACTAGTCATTCCCCGTGTTCGAATCTCCCTATACGGGTTTATTCTGGGAGGTTTCTTCCGGAATAAGTAAAACGAGCAATCACAAGTTATCATTGATGAAATTTACAAGAACCTCTAATTGATATATATTGATTAGCATAAGTGTATTGCGTGATAAAGATTTTCTTTCAATTTTTATTTATATAAAATATTCATAGATCTTGTTTCACTATATGACATGAATTAAATGTTGATAATGTGAAGATAATTTAATTTCTATGATCAAAACTTCAAATAATTAAAGAATTTTATATAATATTAAATAAATTATATATATATATATATATATAGTTTTATTAATATTTCATTAAATTTAAATGTTGTATATGTAAAGAGAAATTTTAATCCATCTGTAGAAATCTCAAATCAATCTATTTTTTATAAAATATAATTTCTACCATTTAAAAATAGTTTATTATTAGAATAGTTGTTAAAAATCAACTATTGTAATAATCATTTTCATTTTCATCATTTGGCATTCTCTCATGTTGATTCTTCTTCATAATTTACATTCAATGCTTTTTCAACTTCCCTCCAACATAAAATAGTCTTTTTGCTACTTGTTTTAATCTTTGTTGCTAATCTCTCACACTCAACTTCCTTAAAGCTACTCCATTAGAGCCCTTCTCCACTCTTCACCACCATACATAATCTGAGCAATTCCATTATCTATCCTTCATCCCTTGCAAATCAATACATCATAGATACCAAAATTGAATGATTTCTTAAGGAGGATGACATTGCAAAAATAACCATACTCATGAAGATAAGACGAAACAAAATGTAGGTCAATTTAATATTTTCCTATATAAATAAGATAAAATATATGAATAATGTTGAAACTTTAGTATTTTTGTAATTAGATAAATTTATTCAATAAAATAAAATAAAATATAACATAAATTATCAATAACCTATACTTAATCTATTTAGTTAGGTTTCAATCATAGTAGATATCACTAAACTGCCATGAAATGAATAAAATTAAACATATATATATATATATATATATATATATACATATAATTTTTTTAATAATAAAATTTCTCATTGTAAAAATTTAAAACTTGCTATGAATGGGTAAAATACATAATCTTCTCTTTGAGATTTTTTTATTTTTATTTTTATTTTTATTTTTTAAACTCCAAAATAAAAAATTCACAATCCAATTACAAATTAGATATATTACCTCATTGACATTTAAAGTAATAATTATCAATGAAATCATTGAGTTTTTATCATAGTGAAACATATAAAAATTGATGGGACAGAAGTTTCAGTCATCTTGAGAGAGATATTTGTAATACAAAACATTACCAAAAATGCTGAAGAGTCTTCCACGTTGAAAAGGCGAATTCCGCGACGGAATCCTACCACCAGCACCTCCACTAAGCGTTTCCAGAGCACAGTTCCAAGAGGAATATCACAGGTTCGTGCCGAACCTAGAGGTTCGGATTTCGTTTCTGAAACCTAAATCTGCCGCTGGAGCACAGGATGAGTCTTTTCCGCCATAGCCAGGGCCTGCATCTCGAAGGGAGAACCCACCCCCGCGTCCCCAGCCACCATGAAGTTCTCTCCGCGTAAGCCCATCTCCTGTGACGTTTAATTTTTGTTCACGTGCCATAGTCGTTTGAGATGTTCTGGGTCGGATTCGTATTGAGACAAGGGTTTTGGAGTTTGTCAAACTGGTCGCTCTAGCATTGTGAAAGCTTCCAGGGTTTCGTCTTGATTTGCTTGAGAGCGCATGCCAGACTCGTTGCATGGTTGGCTTGCTTAACACTGTGGGTTACTGCTCGTAGTTTTGGACACCGACCTAATCATTCGACTGCGGAAACCGGTCTTTAGGGTTTCGTCTCAGTTTGTTGACCTGTAGGTGAAGCGATGTTAACGTGGGCTTAGTAACCCTAGTTTTGTTCTGGCTTCTTAGAGTGGAACTTTTTTTTCTAGAAATCTAATGTATTGGTAACTTTCTGTAGCATCATCTCTCACGTTATGCCCTGCAAGTGCTCCTTCAGTGGGTGTTTTAGAGATCGGTTTCTCGTGTTTAGGTTCTTTTGTGAAGTTCGTCTGTGTTCTTGTTCGGTATTCCACTTAGGAGGAAATGAGCTTAGAAATGATTGTTACGGGAGCAAAGGACATCCTTTGATGGTCCTTCTGAAGTATCCATTATTGAATTTTATTCAGATTTTTTATTTTTTAACCTAGTGTGTGTGCGTTGAATTCTTCTTGGGCCTGGGTTTCTGTAGACTCTCTGATCTGTATTCAATGTCTATGTTTCTTTGGCATTGCTACAACAAATCAGATTCTTCTATTTGGCGACATAATTTCCTTCTAGATTTTCTAGGTCAGTCAATCTTCTGTCATTCACACTTTTGTGAAGTTTGTACTGAGAATTTTCTTGGTTCATTGTGCAGGTGTGAGCAGCTCTAGGTGCAAGTCGCGGAAAGCACATTTCAGTGCTCCTTCCAGCGAACGCCGCATTCTTATGAGTGCCCCTCTTTCAGCAGACCTGAAGAACAAGTACAATGTATGTCAGTCTTTGCCGGTGCATTGCTGATTCATTTGTGTGCCTCTTTTGCAATGAAACAACGACTTGACCATGAAAGCTATCTACAGTTGAATGTTATCTTATTTAATGCCGGTTTTCACTAGGATTGTTAGTGGGTCTGATTTTATCACCTAATTTTTTAAAAAGAATGTCATCGTCAAATCCAGGTTCGATCTGTTCCCGTAAGGAAGGATGACGAGGTCATGGTTGTACGAGGCACATTCAAGGGCCGGGAAGGAAAGGTTGTCCAAGTATACAGGCGGAAGTGGGTGATCCATGTGGAGCGCATTACCCGTGAGAAGGTCAATGGTATGTGTTCACTTAACTCTTAGATATAGAAGTTGGCTAATTTCTTCTGCAGTACTGCTTTGACTTATGTCCATTTCTTCCAACACGTGTCCTAGTTGTTGCCTCATGCGTTGAGCATTAAGCGTTTTGTTGATATGATTCCGCAGGTGCAACCGTGAATGTTGGCATTGATACATCGAAGGTGGTGATCACAAAGCTCAAGCTGGACAAGGATCGCAAAGCTCTTCTTGAGAGGAAGGGTAAGGGTCGTGCTGCTGAGAAAGGCAAGGGAAAGTTCACTGATGCGGATGTTTCTCCTCCGCTGCAGGAAGTCGATTAGATTTTGGTACTCTTATCTGAAATGGGTACATCTTTCTATGAATGTAGCTTGCTTGTAAGCGCTTTAAAAAAATCTTCCAAATTTCCTGGACCTAGAAGTAATTGTGATCCTCATCATCACCATGTATGAAAATGTTGAATCGTTTTGGAGAGTTATTGTGAAATTGTCTCATGTCATCAGTGCATTAGTCCCTAAAGCGTATTGGTAGTCCTCCTTTAAATTTCCTCTAGAAATATTTGGGATGAAGTTCATTAAAATGGCGAATGCACACGTTCAGATGCAATGGTGGTGCAACGTTTCAACCAGTTTGAACGTTCATCAGTACAGAATATTAATATACGTATATGTGCTCATTTTATTATACATATCTAGTTCTTTGTTTTGAATTAGCAGGATTTCTGTTCTAGCTACTCTCCTCAGTTACTGGAACTAATCAAAATTCATGTTGTAGTTCAACTTGTATTGGACACAATTTTTTTGTCTGTGTACGGTATTACTAGCGGAAATCTGTGTTGTTGGGAAAGGAAAAGTTATCAAATTTTAATTTGTGGTTGCTCAGTTGGAAATCAACTTCTCCTACAGAACTGTCCACCAAGGGAAAAGAACAGAAAGAAGATAATATGCTTAACAATGTTATGGAACCATCTATGTATTTTTAATGTTGTTGGCAAACACATTTCTTGTATACTTGAACGACTTAGATAGTTCACTTAAAATAAGTTTGTCAAGCTACACTCCCTATTGATATATGCCACATATATATATATATATATATATTCACATATATGCAGTCACTTTTCTACACATGAAGAAGTGGTTTGTTCAGCTTGTTGATGTTTAAAAGTAGTTTTAAATGTGTGTTTGTCAATCTTCAATTTTACTGCTGAAGTAAGAAAGCCATACAATTAATAGCATTCAACAAAGTATTTGTGATTTTGTGTTTCTCGTCTCAATTTTTTTTTTTTTTCAAACAAATCAATTTAAAATAACCTTTCTATTTATGACTAAATGAAATCCCATTAAATTAAAAGCATTTTCATAATTACCGTATGGTGAACACCATGCACACATATTTTTCAAATTATAAAAAATCGAAAAAACAATGTACTTATTTATTTGTGGTAATTATGGTTTTGAAAAATATTACAGTAAAGAAAGCAAGGTTGAAGTGTATTAACAAATTGTATGTCACATTTTCAATATTGAGATTTAAAATTACTAACAATTATCTAATTAAGTGCCCTCAAAAGGAATAAGAAATTCGTTTTAAGTTTGGATTCATAAAATTTATTAGATCAATAATTTAATGCAAAAAACGAATTTCAAGATCATGAGCAGCAAAATATTTTAATAATTTATAGAATCAAATATATATATATATATATATATATATGTTATTACCAAATTTATAAAGATATATATATGTGTGTGTATGGATATATATCTATATCTATATATATATATACACACATCCATCTAATGTTTTGATTAGCTACTTGTAAAAATATGTGAAATGCACATGTTTATTATCTTCTATAGTCTTTTTAATATCAAAGACATCCTTGCAAATTAAAAGTGTAAATATAAAACAAGTATATAAATTTGATATAATATATTGGAGCCCTTGCTAATACAAGTGCAAAATCATATTAATTTTAATGCATAACATTATAAAGATGCTTTTAATTAAATTGAGTTTTTAAAAGAAATTGTAAATAAACAATCTATTTTTCAATGAAATGGTATTAAAGTATTTATAACAACGTTAATACCATTTCATTGAAAAATAGAACATGGTATTAAAGGATTTATAACAAAAATGATGTACATACATTTTATAGAGAATTTTTTGAACATGTGAAATTATGTGATTTTTATGATATTCAATTATATCAACTTCTTATATAAAATTTTGAAAATCCATTAAAATTGAAAGGAAAGCTTGCTTTGGAATTAATTACTAGAAGAAGTGGAAGATATTTTAAAAAAATACATAAAAAATCAAAACTTAATATAAATTGTTCAATACTAAGAAATAAAAATATTCCTCTAATAGAATAATCAAATGCCATATATTTTAAATAATCAAAATGATTATTGTCATTCTTAATGTTGTTTGAAAATTTATTATAAAAAATATATAAACTTATATTTATTTTTAAATCTATATATATATATATTTTAATTAAATAGATATCTGTACTATTGGATACAAAAAAACTATACTATTTAAATTTTTAAATAAATAAATCAATAGTTGCTATAGAATCATTAATTAAAAAAAGATAAAATAGAAAAAATAGAGAAAAAGAGAAAAAATCAAATAATAATAGAACCATTTATGTTTCTTGAATGTTAGTGGGATTTACTACTATTGAAATAAAGAATCTTGATTGTATTTAGAGAAGTGCATTGTAAAAGGATAACATATGTTTTTGGCCAATAAGAAGATTTTTTTATTTTATTGTCTTATAATTAAGCTTTTTTATTATATAGATAGTGCTAAGAAGCTTATCATACTATATTTAAATTTTGTTAAAACTCTCTTATCTTCTACTATATCAAACAAACATAATCACATAATGGATATCATATTATTCAACTTGAGTTACTTGTGCATATACTTTAACAATTCATGTGATTAATACTAAAGTGACTATTTCAACAATAATAATTTATCAACATATAAGAGTACATTTAATAAAACATTATTGATTTTATAATAGTTACTACTATATCTACCACAAGTTGCTCTAAACTTGTGGTGCATACTATAATGCACTTTTCTCAATCACCAATATTGTAACAAAAGTAAACTATATTAGTTTATGGCTCTTAGTTAATCCTACTAGTTGTTATTTGTGAAGAAAGAAAGACAAATCTCAACAATAAGAACACATAAGATGATTAATAACAACACCATTTAAGAAAATCATATTAAATCATGAGAGATTGTGGATTGACCTTATTGCATTTATTAAAACTTAAGTTTGTTGACACATTATCAAGGATAAGAACTCAAATATTGTAAATGAATAAGTAATGCGTATATCAAAGAGTGATTACAGAAAGAGAATAAATAAGTATGTCTATTCAAGAAAAAACTATAATGGTTGATGTCAAAGACTAAAATATCAAAGACTCTTGAAACTAGATTAGATGCAAGAAAAAAATTGATAAGAGTAAAAAAGACCTCATTCTTACCTCTATATATACTATCTAACTAAGAGCTATGTAGCGACAATCTATAAGACTTGCAACATGTGTCCAACTTGCAAGATATATGTCTAACTTGTAAGACAAGTTTTCTATATGTATGCTACATGGCCAACTTGTATCACAAGTCGCCACCATGTGCATTACATGGTCAATTTGTTGGCCAAATTTTTAACTTATTAATCATATACAAATACATATAAAGTCAAACTTGCGTCTATAAAGATTCTAAGAAGCTTCAACAAAAGATATTATTGATATTTATCTATTTTTACTTACTTCATCCCAACTCCTTTTGTTTAGGCATTTCTTAATATTGATTGCATCTGTGACACACATAGACCAACAGTTGCCTCTACCTTAGAAATATTATAATATCTTGCGTTGAAGGAGCAAATTTGATGGTCAATCATTTTTTTCATGTGTTCATCAATAATTTGCATACTTTCCAAGAAAACATTGTATTTGTGCTTTTTAATTACATTTCTAAGATTATGGTAGAAATGACCAAAGAACATCAAACTATTTTATATATTATACAAGCTATTTTTTATTGAATTATTATATAATTACTATATAATATAAATAGTGGAATAATAAAAATATTAAATATAACTATGTTTTAAAATAAAATTGTTTTTTAAAAAAAATTATGACTATAATTAAATTTTATATCAAGTTTAAAGCAAATAAAATGATAGCATTGCAAAGATACAACCTCAAGATCTTTAAAGAAACATTTCACTTAAATATGAAATAAAAATATTATAATAAATCATTCTTACATATTTATAAATTAAAAAAATAGATAAATTATTAAATGCTAAGCATGCTTAAATACCTCCAAATTATTTTAAGGTCTTATTGTAAACATAAGAAAAAACACCATCTATATATTAATTCCAACCTTGTATATTATATAATAGAAAATAATCATAGATTCTAAAGAAGATATTTTTGAAGCTAAATTAAGATAATATAAATAAAAAAAATTCAAAAATAATTATAACAAACTTTTTTATTTATCTCTATCTATACATACAAGGAGGCTATTAACAATTGATATTTGAACAATTATTGGAGAAGATCACGGACAACTAACAAAAATAATATAGATAAAATTTCTAACTTAGGTATATGTAGTCCAAAACAAAAACTAATAGTAATCCTGATGCAAAAAAATAAGAATTGAAAAAGAGCCATCTAACAACAAATCAAATCTAGTAAAATAATCTTTTATTGATTTAATTGAGTCTGCTAATTTTAATTTGATTATACAAAAAATAATAATATTTATTCTAATAGATAAATATAGTAATTAGAAGCACTTCTAATAGATCATCTATATAAGTTTTTTGCTTTATGTATCTATTAATAAAAAATTAAATTTATATAAAAAATTCTCTTCGTTAAGATTCTAATAGAAGATTGGTTTATGATATATAAATAAGAGAAAAAATATTCTCTAAGATAATATGACGTAAATAAACTTTTATTATTTTCTATACAAAATATAGTTTGAATAATGTTTTTTTAATAATATTAGATTCTCAAATAAAATAAAATAAAAATTAATTAAAAAATATATATTTAATACAAATATATTATACATGATAAGAATACATATTTTATAAAAGCCTTGTTAAAAAATTACAATAAAACTTATTGTCTTAATCAAGATTTAATGTAGTAGAAAATCAACTAAGTTATATTATTAATTGAAATAGAATAAGATAATTTTTCTTATTGATTATTAAATGTTTAATTATTTAATATATAATATAAATTTTATAATTGATAATTAAGTCCTTAGGATAATCTTGAAAGACATCTTTGATGAGTATTTGTGAAGGACATAAATCAAAATAAGAAGAATCTTAAAATATTTTCATGTAATTTAAGAAGAATAAATATTCACTCCATAAATAATATAGTATTA